AATATAGATTAAAAAATTTTAAATAATAATTTAGATTAAAAGTTCGTAATTATACAATTTTTGCAATAAAATGTAAATTAGAATGATAAAAAATACTTTCATATACGTTTTGAATGCAACCATTTATGAAAATACTATATTCTCCCTTTTCTGAAATCAACTTTTAAAACTGGTCATTTTGTGATTTTTAAATTTATAATATCACTTCTCTGATGAAAAATTCTAATTAAGAAAACTTGAAAATACTCCTGCACCAAGTTTAAGAGAAATTGATTGCAATTATTGATTTTTTTCACCTCCAAAAAACGGTTTTTCGGCTATATCGGCAGTCAGCTGTTTGGTTTTTCTTATCAACGCGCATTGAACTTGTGTTCTCCCTGGCGGATTGTATGATGCGAATGCTCCACGAAATTCGCTGAGCATTCGTGGAACACGAGAGTGAGATTGAAATTCTGTCTAAAATATATCAAACAGGATGAAATTCATAGTATAATTATTAAACTCAATAAGTTTTATGCATTTTAATATGATTATTGTTAAATTATTATAAAAATTTAATGTTTTTATTAATTTCAATCTATTACAGTTTATTATCAACATTTGTCGATAAAATCAATATATCTGCGCATTTTAGCAGGTATTTGGCAGCACTCTTTTTTTTCTTTTAATTTTTTATGTACTTTTTTATTTAAAGCATTGAGATCAGCTTCTTGTGGACCATCAAATTATGGAAAAACAAATGCACTTCTTTCTCTGACTATACATGGGAATGGTTTAGGATTTGAAAATATGTATTATGCTTTTCAAACAAGATGAAAGGAACCTCAAGCATGTTTATAATGATCATGTGAATACAGAAATGACTTTTACACAGTTTCGAGATTTATGCTTAGTATGTTGGAACTCTGACAGGTATGGATTTGTAGTTATTGATAAAGATAGAAATATGAATGATGGAAGATATAGAAAGGGATTTGATGGCTTTATTCAGTTATAAATATACAGCATTTCAAGAGAATTACATTAGTTCAGTTTGAGACTTTCATAAATAAACATGTTTCGAAAGGAGCGAGAGACGCTACATCAAATAGCAGCAGCAAGTGATGCTATACGTCGAAAACATCGTATTCTTAAAAGTGGCAGAGAGTCAGCTGAAAATATCTTGAAAGAAACCATTCAACCATTAGTTACTCCATTGGAAAAAATAGTGAATATAACTAAAAATCCTATAAAGATTGAAAATTTTCAAAACCATGTAAAGAAAGAAGAAGAAGACTTTGAATCATATCTTTTAAGACTGCCATTATAGTAAAGATACACCTTTCAACAAATCTATTTATAATGATGATGTAACGTTTAATGATCCTATTTATGAAGAAGAAGACATGCAAAATTTAACAAAAGAAAATATAATTGATAGATTGACAAATCAAGAGAATCATGATTACTAATGTTATTACTAATGAGCATAATAATAATATACTTAATGATGACTTTCATAAACAAGGGATGTATGATATTAAAGATGAAAGTAATGTGTTTAATATTGTGGAAGAATATTCTGATAAATTAACAAAGAAATTTCTACAAATGTTGAACAAAAATAGGATACAATATATAGATATGGTTTATGGAGCACGTAAACTTCCCGACGGTACATATATAATTGGTGATACGCAAATTCATTTTGAAAGTTCTTACATTAACCTTGTTGAGAAGGAATAATATTTTAAAACGGATGGATTATTGGAACTCATATTATGACAAAAACCTGATCAAAAGTTAACAAATGCTAATGATTTCATAAACTATAAAGAAATCTTGCGTAGTACGAATGCACATAGAAATAATTATAGTCAAAATAAACTTATTCATAGTAATAAGACTTTCAAAGATACTAATGTTATTGCAAAACTTTTGCTCAAATCTGGAGATTCTTATTTGAAGAAAAAAACTCAATTACCACAATTTATGATGTTGAAGAAACAATCATATCCTCACTATGTCTATTGGGATGATCCAAATGAGATTGTTGATCGTCTACGGTTACTTGTCGCATCACAAAAGGCTGTCAATTCAAGTCATAACAATCAAATTATGTCAATAATTGAAGAATTACGGGAAGCTCAAATTATACATATATTAAGAGTGAACTTGTAAAATTAAGATCATTATTATATTAAATATTGTTCTATTAAGATCATTTTTTGTTACAAATCCTTCAACATGACCCAAATAGCACGGAAACTTGCAGCAAGTTTGCTGCAAGTTTGCAGTGCAAGGTTTGAAAGTTTGTAAGGTAAGTTTGCAGCAAACTTGTGGCAAATATTGAAATGTCCTCCCTTGGCAAGTTTGCAGCAAAAACTTTCTGCAAACATGCTAAGCAAAATTGTCGAAAAGTTTCAAGAACAATTTGTAGCAGAATTGCGCTGAAAATTTTTAGAAATTTTAAAATGGAAGTTTTAGTAAAATAAATATTTAATAGTTTTATGGAAAATTATTTTGTCAATTTCTTTTGAATTTAAATAATAAAATCACAGACTAGCAAAGGAGAAATAACGAAACAATTGTTTGAAAGAAATTTTTTAAAATTTATTCTCAGTGACTTTATACATTTGAAAATATTTGTTATGGAACATTTTTAAAATTGAGTACAATTTATTAGCCCCGATGTTAGTCCTTATGAAAATTTTTTAAAATTTTACCTAATAAGGTGAAAAAAATAGTTGCTCCCAGGAAAGTGTTTTAAATTAAATAAATGAAGACAATGATGATATAAAATTATGCAACATGTTGTACGGGAAGCAAAAGTACTCCTGTGGTACATGGAATTCTCCATACTTTGCACACTACATTCGTTAAGAAAGTGGAAAACTCGGTTTCCTCCGAAAGAGTTGCTTTGTAAATGTTAATTAATCTGGAATCTGGATTATTATACAACTCAGAAACAACGTTAATTTTTTTTATTATTAGCCACGTCTCGTTGATGCTATCGACAATATTTACAACTTGAGCAAAAGTGCCACCCTTCAATAAAATACAACTATTCTTGAGTTCCATGCAGTTCAATTTAATCGATTTGTAGTGTAAAATTTTATATTGCTGTTTGATATTGATACAGTCTCTTTAATGGCCCTGAATTGTGAGGATGTTTTAATGTCGTTGTGTTTTTCACTTTTGTCTCATTTAAATGCGCTTACCGTTCTGAATATCTGCAGGCAATCTGCTCCAGTGGCTGATGTCTTTTTTTAATCCACTTCTTGACTGTCGATAGGTAGTTCTCAAATCTAAATGAACTAAATTTGTCTAAAGTACCGAATTTTTTTACATCATTACAAAAGTGCAATAAATTATGCACATTATGAGACATGTACTCTCTTCCGTAAATTGTTTTAAAATCTTCAACGAAGCGAATTAACAAATCGTGACAAACATCTATGTTTAATGGTATTTGTAAATGAACTTCACTGACCAATACTGTCATTGCAGTGTGTAGAAGTAAAAAGTGTTGATACATATCTGATCGTATATTTTTTAAAACAACTGGTGCTGCATATAAAAGAAATGTCCTAAATTCTGTGGCTTTCCAATGAGAATAATCCCACAATGAGCGAGGTTTCTTTACAAATTCGGATGGTATGCTATAGGTGAGAGTTTTCAATTTCTTAGAAATATTGTTTATTTTTCGCCGATCTAATCTAATTTTATATGGTCCGCGCACCCAAAACTTAATGTTTCATTATAATCGTTGCGATCGAATCCCTCATCTGCCTTTAGTTTTGATAGTTTAATACCAGGAAAGCATACTGTTCCTTTCTTCTTCTTTTTTTTCCCTACTTTTCGAAAAACATAAGTCCCTTCAATTTCGCATTTTGAACAACTGGAGTACCCCGTGTGACCTTTTAAAAAAATCGGACAAGTGCGAGTTACACTCGCACTGAAATCGAGGGTTCCGTACTCGAAGCGAACTTATTTGGTATAAAAACAAATGTTTAAAAAATATTTGTTGTGTATTAAATAATATATGTGATACAAAAATGAACAATTTTTAAAAAAAAATTTAAAAAAATTGTTCCTCCTTTGGTATAAAAACAAAAAAAAAATTTTTAATTTGTTTTGTATTTCAAATAATATAAGTGATACGAAGAGGAACAATTTTCTTAAATTTTACAAAATTGTTCCTTTTTGTATCACTTATATTATTGGAAATACAAAACAAATTAAAAATTTTTTTTTTGTTTTTATACCAAAGGAGGAACAATTTTTTTAAATTTTTTTTTAAAATTGTTCATTTTTGTATCACATATATTATTTAATACACAACAAATATTTTTTAAACATTTGTTTTTATACCAAATAAGTTCGCTTCGAGTACGGAACCCTCGATTTCAGTGCGAGTGTAACTCGCACTTGTCCGATTTTTTTCGTTTTTTGCGGAAAAATACATTTTTTTATTAAATTTATCATTTTTCTTCAAAAATTTGATAAAAATTGATCATCAACTCCAATCGTGCTTACATTTTTTCCCTGTATTTTTCACGCAAAAATACAGTTTTACAGCAAATATGAACTGTCTGGGTAGAATATTGTGTGCGCTAGGGAGAATAAATCATTTTTTCGAAATTTTTGATTTTTCCTTGACAACGCTATGTAAATTGATCGGAATAAAGTTCGCTATATTTTTCCTGTAATTGTCACATAAAAATACGTAAGTGTACCAAATTTGAGCACTTTATGTTAAAAGATGTGGCTGCTAGGGGGGGGGGTACATAGTCATTTTTAGGTATTTTTCGTAAAAATTCATGGTTTTTCCTTGACAACGCTATGATAATCAACTCCAATCATGCTCGCTATATTTTTTTTGTAATCTACACCTAAAAATACGTTAAAATATGTAAATTTAATTTCCTTTAAATAAAATTTTGTTCGTTTTTGGTGGAAAAATACATTTTTTTCCTAAAATTGTCATTTTTTCTTGAAAAACTTGATAAAAAGTTAACCATCAACTCTAATCGTGACCGCTTTTTTTCCCCTGTATTTTTCCCGTAAAAATACATTTGTATACTAAATATGAACTGTCTGAGTAGAATATTGTGTGCGCTAGGGAGAATAAATCATTTTTTTTCGAAATTTTTGATTTTTCCTTGACAACGCTATGTAAATTGATCGGAATCAAGTTCGCTGTATTTTTCCTGTAATTTTCACGTAAAAATACGTAAGTGTACCAAATTTGAGCCCTTTATGTCAAAAGATGTGGCCGCTAGGAGGGGGGTACATAGTCATTTTTAGGCATTTTTCGTAAAAATTCATGGTTTTTCCTTGACAACGCTATGTTAATCAATTCCAATCAAGTTCGCTATATTTTTCCTGTAATCTACACGCGAAAATACATATGTGTACTAATTTTCAGCCCTCCAGATAAATTTGTGTGGCCGCTAGGGGGGGGGTACACGATTTCAAAAAAACCGATATTAATAGGGTTCCGAACCGAGTACGGAACCCTAAAAAAGACAAAAGATTTTGCCGGTGCATCGCAGACAATATATTCGCAGGATATTAAAACATTAGGATCTGTTTAACCTTTATTATACAAGTGAAATAATTCGTCTATGAATTCCTTTATGAATTCATTTGCATCGTCTGGTTTACTTTTCCCATAATATGCTCCCACTGGATACACAAAATCCCCGTTAATTTCTGAACAGAGGATCAACCACACACTCTCAGTTTCAGATTTTGAGATCGGTAAACCGTCAATATTAAATACCAATTTAACTTTGTCAATTGTTTTACCTTTTTTCTGAAATTCTCGTACAATTCCTCTAGCAGCTCTTTCTACGCCGAAATGATGATACGCACCATCTCCCATTTGCGAAATTTTAACATATTTTAGAGTTCCCATTTGAGTTCTTGCATCTAATGGTAAAGGAAAATTTACAATTGATTTGAAAATTAATAACAATGCAGTTATTGCAACGTGACAAATATACAACCGTAAAGCCCAACTTCGTATTTGATCTTGGAATGATTTTGAAGCACTAGAACTATCGTCAAAACTATCATCTGTGTTTTCGTCTGTCTCTTCTTCTGTAGAAACTTGGTCCGTATTTTCGCTGTCGCTAACATAGGAGTCCTCAGATAATTTGTCGTCACTTTTCTCAATGTCTAAGACGTCATCTTCGGATTCGCAATTATTTAATTCACTCTCGCTGCAATTTGCACTATAAGAAAAAAATAAATTTATAAAATGCGAGAAGAATAAGAAACGCTTTACTTTGAATATATAAGAAAATAATTATTAATAAGTATGAGTTTATGCTTAACTAAATTTTTATAAAATATAACTTTTATTTAAAGAGACAGTCCACGTTTGAGTCTTATTTTAAAAATAGTTTGCGAATGAACTATACATGACAATAAAAAACGGTTTTCTGGCTTTCATTTCAACACTTTAAAGTTATTAAAATATTCTTTCATATTTTATTACCTAAATGTAAAATTTTTATTTGCCTTCAAAAAAAATGAATTTAATTGTTATCAACTTGTCTAGATTTAGACATGAACTTTTTCAAAATTTTTGGATTCATTCAAACAGACACGCATATTTCTTTTCAAAATAGTTTCTTTGCATTTTTTTTTGAAATGAAAATTTACAAAAAAATGTTTGATTTTCAAAAAAATTCAGTGGAAGTCTTACCAAAATGTTCGACAACACAACTATTGGAAAACTGTTTAAACATAGGTATATGACACAAAAAACTTTATTGTTTAACTAGCAAAATTACACGCGCGCAAGCGCGCGTCCAACTGTCATTACAATGGTTGTTTTAAAATAATAATAATAATTCTGCATCAGTGGAGTAATAAATTAATAATAGATATATTTCTAATTTTCACGTTATCATTTATTTTTACACAGAAAAAAATGAGTTTCATGTTATATAAATAGTGATTTTTTAGTTAAGTCAGCTCATAATTAGTTAATACAGCAAAAATAATTTAGCTAAGTTAATTTTTAAATTTAATAAACTTGTAAAACTATTAGTTGGATTGTTGACGGTAACAACAATGAAAACCCAAGAAAAAACCTATCGAAAAAGTGATGATAAGAAAAACATAAATTAAAACCAATAGTTACAATTTGCGGTGTAAATGTTGATAAATCAATTCTAGTTTCACCAACATAACCGCCGCCACTTGAAATGCAGAGAAAAATTAATTATGTTGTGTCAATTATGATTAAAATATTCTTTGACACTTATGTATACTGTATACGAAAAGGCAGAGATTGTTGGGATAAAAGATATTACTGACGAATGGATTTTCTTATTGACAGAATGTATATATAACGAGTAAGATCATTTTTTTGTGAATTGATAGTAAAAAAATAAGATTTTTAAGTAAAAATTTTAGAATATAAATATTAAAATTTTAGAAATAAATATTTTTTATAAAGTCAATGTTAGATGATTTTTTATAATTTTTTAAATTACAAAAAATTAGTTTTGCTAAATATTTTTTTGTATTTTCTATAAATATTTCGTTTCAAATGAAAATTTTAAATTTATGTTTTTTTTTTCAAAAAATTTAATTAATTGATAATTAATAAATATTAAAAAATTATGTACTCAAAAAGAAAATTAAATTAAAAATTAAAATCAAATTGAGAATTTTTTAAAAAAGCAAACTATTTTTATATTGTTTACAGATAAAAAATATAACAATTTAATAATTAATAATAAAAACAAATTAATAATAATGAATTTATGAATAATAATATATAATAAATAATAATGAATAATGGAAAAATAATGAAAGAAATAATAATTATAAGTTAAAATGTTCTAATTATCTGTAATAATCATTATATTTAAAAAAATGTATATATAATATAATAAATTTATAAATAATAATAAAAATTATATTATAATTGAAACTTTTTTTCTATAAATACCAAGTAGGAAATATACTGGTGCAGCACACAATGAACAGTATTTTTTTTTACTTTAAACTTATACTTAGTATATGACTTAATTAATGACGATGAATAAAAATATCCGTCGCGTTAACCATAAAATATTACGAAATCAAGAATCTGTCAATTTTAGAAAAACAAAAGGAAAAAAGTGTGGACAGACGGAATGAATGAATGAATACGGAAATTATTATAGTTAATTTATAATTTATTATTTGAATAGAAAAACACCTTACTATTTTGTTTCTGTTTATATATTTATTCAAATTTACAAAAAAAATTTTAAATTTCATTTTTTAAGCACTAAAACCAATCAAAAAGGTTCATGGAAACATCTTGTGCAGTTGTGCTGGTGGTTTAATTATTAAATTTTTTTTCATGGGAAGCATTTCTAATAACCTATAAATTACAAATACGCAAAAGAAAAGAAAAACATTTTTATAAACCTCAAATGTAAAATGACTTCTAAAGAAAATTTTCAAAGTACAAAATATTTATTGAACAAAGCTTTATTTATTAAAACTTTTCGTTTAAATATTATACTGTTGCTAAATTTTAAACAATAAAATTTATATTGATATTATTAATTTAACCAACTTTTCATGTACAAAAAAATGTTTCCTTGATCTAATAAATAATTCTGCTAAATAATAATTCGTAATTATATAAAATTAATTTTAATGATAATTAAAGTTTGTATAAAAAGACATGGGATAAAAAATACATTGTGATTTACAAAGTTTGGTCGAAGAAACTTTGATGCATGACTAATTAGTTTCAATAAAATTTTATTATAATAAAAGTCGGTTAATAAATTAATGTTGAATATAAATTTTGTTTTATCAAATATGAGAACTAAAAAGTAGATTCCATGAATAAAATTGCCCAATGTGTGATAATTATTTTTCGACATTAATCGACCTTAGTAAAAATTTGTACACTGTCACTAATTAACATGATGTATGCTTAAGAAATTGTATAATTATAGTAAATTGCTTCTTTATGTACCTGTAGTTATCAGAATGTTCCATATTAGCATCTTCATCACTGGAGATATCATTTTCTTCATTCTCAATATTTGAAAAAGGGATTAATAGTCCTGAAGCCTCTTGATGTATATTTTCATTAACATTTAATGGATGAGATGACGAAGTAAATCTTAAATAAAAAAAACTCTACATTTTCCAGCATGAAAAGTATATTTTATTAAACTATTTACATAATAACATTTTTTATTTATTACATTAACTATAATTAATTTTAAGTTCTAAATCTAAAGGCGTATAAATAATGAGAGTACTTTAACCCAAAATAATCAAGATTAACTAATTTTTTTTGTATTTCAAAATTTTTTAAAAATCGTTTTTTGCCAAGAACTTTGAAAAAATGAATTTACACTTCTGGACATTTTGAGCTATTAGCGAATATTCTACTGCAATTCTATCCAAAGTTATTAACATTTTAAAAAATCGAAAAAAAATTTTTTTGCCCATAACTTTTAAAAACGTGTAACTCGATTTGCGCTCGGACCGGTCGCTCTGGAGACAGTCAAGATGGTCAGAAAAGATAAAAAATAAAATTCGGAATTTTCAATTTTGAAAATTACTGCCATATAGAGAATGAAAATGCGCATCTTTTTCGTTAATGAAATTTTTTTGTAGGATTATTATTTTTTATAATAATGGAAAAAAACTGCAAATTTTTAATTTTTGAATTTAATTAATTTTCAAAACATAAATCGTCACTGTTCGTACAAATCTTAGTGAAATTAATTGAAAATTGGTGTAACAAGTGGCGTTCCATTTTAACTGTGGTCATTTCGTTTTTTGGCGTTTATCTTTTTAACAATTCGTGTTGGAATCTAACTCCTGTTTTGTATACTTTTCGTGATTTTAATCCTCCCTATTGAAAATCCCCACATGGGAAACCACATGGGAAACCACATGGGATCCTATATCAAAAACTATGTAAAACCCCATTCCCCATATGGGAAACCACATGGGATCCCATATAAAAACTCATGGGAAATTGGGACAGGAATTGGCATAGGAAAATATCAAAACGAGGTTCATCCATGTCATTTCCTATGTCAAATCCCATGTCAAATATCATGTTAAATACTAATTGAGATCCTTTATCACTTTTTTGAAAAATTTTCCCATGTCAAACCCCATGTCATTTCCCAAGTAAAAACCTTTATCATTTTTTTGAAAAATTTTCCCATATCATTTCCCATGTGAAATCTTTTATCATTTTTTTGAAAAATTTTCCCATGTCAAATCCTCTTTCGCCTTATCGAAAATACCCACATAGGAAAGCATATGGGAATCCACATGGGATTCCTGCTTTATGCAGGCGGCAGTTTACAAAAAAAATTAATTATTTGATTAAATATCAAATAATAATACTTCAACTCATCTGAAAATAAAAAAAAGTTTACTTAACTTCTGCCTTAGACTCTCAGCTTTTATAGTATTGCAGACTGATCTCAACTGTGAGAGAAAATATTTTCACCATCTGGTGGTGAAACAATGAAACTATAATGACGATCAACATCTATATTGAAATTTCCTATGTCATTTCCCATGTGAAATCCTCTTTCATTTATTCGAAAAATTTTCCCATGTCATTTCCCATGTGAAATCTTATCATTTTTTCGAAAAATTTTCCCATGTCATTTCCCATGTGAAATCCTTCATCATTTTTTTGACAAATTTTCCAATGACAAATCCTCTTTCGCCCTATCGAAAATACCCACATGGGAAAGCATATGGGAATCCACAGAGGAAATGGAATACGATAAAGGATTTCACATGGCAAATGACATGAGGTTTGACGTGGGAATTGATATGGGAAAATTTTTCCAAAAAATAATAAAAGATTTCACATGGGAAATGACATGGGAAAATTTTTTGAAAAAAATGATAAAGGAATTCACATGGGAAATGACATGGGAAAATTTTTCGAAAAAATGATAAGATTTCACATGGGAAATGACATGGGAAATGACATAGGAAATTTCAATATAGATGTTGATCGTCATTATAGTTTCATTGTTTCACCACCAGATGGTGAAAATATTTTCTCTCACAGTTGAGATCAGTCTGCAATACTATAAAAGCTGAGAGTCTAAGGCAGAAGTTAAGTAAACTTTTTTTTATTTTCAGATGAGTTGAAGTATTATTATTTGATATTTAATCAAATAATTAATTTTTTTTGTAAACTGCCGCCTGCATAAAGCAGCCAACTAAAAAATTCCCGAATAAAATCCTATATCGTTTCCTATATGTAAATCCATGTGAAATCTTAGGTTGAAATTTCAGAATCTATATGAAATCTTATATGATTTCCTATGCTTAAATTTATTTGTTTTATCATTTGGAAGAATGCACATGAAATCGTATTCCATTTCCCATGTGGATTCCAATATGGTGTCCCATGTGGATTCCCATATGCTTTCCTATGTGGGTATTTTCGATAAGGCGAAAGAGGATTTGACATGGGAAAATTTTTCAAAAAAATGATAAAAGATTTCACATGGGAAATGATATGGGAAAATTTTTCAAAAAAATGATAAAGGTTTTTACTTGGGAAATGACATGGGGTTTGACATGGGAAAATTTTCCAAAAAAGTGATAAAGGATCTCAATTAGTATTTAACATGGTATTTAACATGATATTTGACATGGGATTTGACATAGGAAATGACATGGATGAACCTCGTTTTGATATTTTCCTATGCCAATTCCTGTCCCAATTTCCCATGAGTTTTTATATGGTATCCCATGTGGTTTCCCATATGGGGAATGGGGTTTTACATAGTTTTTGACATAGGATCCCATGTGGTTTCCCATGTGGGGATTTTCAATAGGTCTCTCACTTGCCCAAGTGGCTACACACTTCTGGCAAGGTTAAGTCGAGGAATTTTTAGAGAAACCAGAGCTTGCCGAATGCAAGGGTAGTTACTGTGTCTCAGTTCGACGTAAGCGAACCAAAATAAAAATAACAAAAAATTCTACTCGCGCACTTGACAAAAACCCAAACAAAAAAAATTTTGTCTGAAAAATAATACATTAAAACATGGAAACAATAAACAAATATTTCAACATCATTTTTTATCACACTTTGCTTCAAATAATTACTGTGTATTTGTGAGTGTGTTTTAATTCATGTGTGTTTTCAGAAAGAAAATTTATTTTTCACTCTTTACTAAAGTCTCAACTTTTTCTTTTTTTAAAACATTTTTTCAAAAATTCGAGCGATAAATCCCACTGCTGCCACCATTTTGTTAAAGACGGAAGTTAATTAACAAAAGAAAATAAAATAGATAACTTGACGAGAAATAATAAATATATAGAAAGAATACTAATTTTTATTACTTAACAATTCCGCTTATTTGGAAAGCGTAAATGCTCTTCGCTAAACAATTTTAGAATAAGGTAGTGGACTACCTCTTAGTAAATTATTGATTCAATAAACCTGGATAGACGGTATTTAAGAGAAAATGTTAAAAAGAAACATGAGACAAAGTAATTCAATGTGAAATAAATAAATAGAGTCAAATTAAATTAACACTCAATTTATTACAAATTATTCTCAATGTATTTGTTTTATACATGCAAAGAAAGGTTTATTACAAAATTCAATAATAATTAAGCTAATTGACTTACGTCAAGTCTTACAAATATCAACAAGATAGATTTAAAAACATAAGAAACTGTTTTGTTAAAGACAATTATTTAAAAAGACTCACCAGAATTATAATCGTTACAGAAAAGTATCGTATTACTCGTTGTTTGTCACTTGATACTTAGGTATGCGGAAGTCTTCTCTTCTTTATTTAGTTATAATGAATTTCTCAATTAATTTTTATATATTTTCAAGACACTTGTATTTATTATTATTTAACACAAATCAACCCTTACTTAGGATTAATTAATAACTTCAACCACCTTTTGTGGGACTTCAATAATATAATCATCCGCCTTTTGCGGGAATTAACACTACATCCGCCTTTGCGGAAAATGATACTCAACACTTGAACGAATACTGATCATTCGATCCCTACTGTCCGAAAGACCGACTATTTAAACTCTTTTTAACAATGAGATTGGTGACAATGATCACTCCCGATTCATGTAGAAGGAGAGTTGATTTTGCAACTGACTTCTCCTTATTTTCATGCAATTTCAACAACGTTGCATTTTTAACTGGGGCAGTGATACATTCAATCACCTACTCTACTTATAATTTTCATTATTATTACTTAATCTTCCAAAGGGATTAAGTAACTGTCATATATTGAAGACCCACATTTAAATGATACAATAAGAATTTAGATCATGTTATTATTTTGTAACTTATTTCAATTTAACAATTCATTATAAATAAAGTACATGAAAAGACCTTTGGCATAATTATTAAATGATTTCGAAATAATAATTAAAATATTCACAATAATAATGTGTGTTGTGTTTTATAATATAATAATTCGAAAGATGATTATGAATAAATAATGATTAAAAAAATCATAAAGTGACGGAAATTCCGTCCCTAAAACTTCCAAAGACAAGAGTAAAACTTTGTGGCAATATTAATTCCATGGTGTATCTAAGCGTATCATTGTTTGCCAAAAGTTCTTATGCAACTTGCTCGATATAAAAATAGGTAGGTTTACACTTATCAAAAAAAAATGCTTTTAAATGAATCTCTAGAAAAAAGAACTGGTAAACATGAAAATCGTGTACAGAAATTAACTGAAGATGTAGAACTATTTATTCGGGAGCATTTGTTTTTGATTCCTCACACACCATCGCATTATAGTTCAGAAAAATCTGGACGGTTGTACTTCGAAGACTCTGAATTAACGATAACTAAATTGTTTTCACTATTCGTTGAGTACTATATTAAAAAAACGGGCAAAAAACCACCAATTGGAGAGTCGACATATTCGAAATATTTTAATAATAATTTAAATTTTTCATTTTCGAAACCGCACACGGATGTTTGTGATTTTTGCTTCAAATTTCGAAATGAAAAGGACAATGTAGATTTAAAGAATCACAAAAAAGCTGTTGAAGAGCATTATGCTCTAAAAAAAGGTATGACGACAGAACCAGATGTATTGTGCATCGAATTTGATTTCGGCCAAAATTTAC